ATGAGGCCAGGCCTGGCCAGCATGGCTCAGTGGTTCGCACATCAACCTAAGAACCAGGAAGTCACGGTTTGATTCCCTGGCCAGGGTTGCCGGCTCAATCCCCAGCAGGGAGTGTGCAGGAGGCAGCCAGTCCATGATTCTCTCTCATCATTGATGTTTCTCTCTATCCCCTCTCCCTTCCTCTCTGAAGTCAATAAAAATATATTTAAAAACAAAGAAAAGAAATCGAGGCCAGGAGAGGGAGGGGCCCGCCAGGTCCCACAGCCGCTCGTGGGGGAGCTGGGGAGCCTGCAGAGAAATCAGTGTGGGGTTGGAGTGCGGGGCCCACAGCCCCATCACCAGTCCTCACACTCACCCTCTCTCTCCCCTTCTCTCAAATTCCCTTTCTCCTCTCTCCCAGTCCCCAGCCTGACCCCCCAGGCTCGCCTCACTCCTTGAGCCCTCTCCCCACTGTGGTTACCCCCAAACAAGAAGTGGGTAAGAAGGTACCAGAAGCTCCTGGGGACGCAGCGCTGACCGAACCCCGAGGACTGGGCTTGGGCGGGGGACTCTGGCGGAGGGCTGCGGGCCAGCAGATGCCTTGGGTGGGGAAACGTTTTGAGAGGAAAGTTTCAATCATCCACATTAGAAGCTCAGACTCATCAGTCAGGGCAGGGAGGGGCTCTCAGGATAATCAACCCCCTCACTGTACAGATGGGGAAACTGAGGCCCACCTGTCCACGGGGGCGGCCCCTGACAGGTTAGGGGAGCCAGGACAGAGCCTCTCCTCGCTCTGATCACAGATGTGGCCGTCACATGACTCGTCTCCCTGTGCCTCCACACTTTGTGCCTCAAAAACCCAGAGGGTCCCCAGAAATAGAGACTCTAGACCGGGGCCAGCCCTGGTTCCAGAAGCCACCTGGGGAGGGGACGCTGCCGCCTGCCGCACCAGCCCAGACGCCCGCATCAGGTGGCCCTGGTGCTTTCCAACCTGCCCAGTGAGACCGCGGTGCCCACCAGGGGGCAGCCGGGAGCACATGTGAGAAGTCACTATTGCTCTTTGTTTACAGCAAAGATGTGGAAACTTTCGCGCCAACGGCTCTTGGCTTCTCAGATGCGCTCCTAGCTCCTCGGGGTGTGAAAGGGCAGTGACTCATAAGAGACTGTGAGTCTGCAGAGGCTGCAAAAGTCCCCAGACGCTTCCTTCTCCCCTCCCCCACCGCGGCAGCTGCCACCCGGCTCCACTATGGTGCCTGCCACCCAGCGTTCCCTCCCTCCCTCTGCGCTGGCTTCTTCCAAGAGAGGGTGAAGGCAGCGGATTCCTGCAAATTCATATGGAGGGGGTTTACTTTGGAGCTGACAGTGGTCCGCATGGGTCTGGGGTGGGGGGCTCCTCCCGGAAATGGGGAGCAGAGGGAAAGGGGAGCCCGCCTCACCCTCGGAGCTCTCTGCCCTCACCTGGCTCTTCTGCCGCCTCTCAGGACCACGTGCTGGCTCTCGAAGCTGCAGGCAGAAGGGAGGCAGCAATCAGAGACCAGGCGAAGGGCCCACTGACCAGGTCAAGGGCACGAGAGCAGACTGACCAGGTTAAGGGGAGGCTGGAGGGCAGCCCGCGTTCTTTCTCAGCAAATACCACAGTAACTATACGACAACCGCTACATTATTAAGGCACATACAAAGCACACCAGCCACATGATCTCCGTTGAGTCTCATGCAAAAACTGTGAGGTAAAGAAGTATTCTTACCCCATTTCACAGATGAGGAAACTGAGGCGTGGGGAGGCTCAGTGACCTGCTGGGAGCTGTACCGCAGGAAACTGGTGAGCCTGGATTTGAACCTGGTCTGTCTGCTCTCACACTGCCCACTCTTGGGAGGGGGAGGGGAGGGATGGGCAGGCCTTTCAAGGAAGCATGCATGATCTACACTGCATGTCCCAGAGCTGTGTGGCTGGGTGCATTTTCCCTTCTATAGTTTCATCAGCTCCAGAGACCCCACAATTAAAGTGAGTCCCTGAGCACTCAATGGTCACTAGGGTGTTCCCAGTTTTCTTAAAACTCTCCCAGAACAGCCTGGCCCACGTGGCTTAATGGTTGAGCATTGACCGATAAACTAGGAGATTCAAATCCCAGTCAGGGCACATGCCTGAGTTGCGGGCTCCATCCCCAGTGGGTGGCGTGCAGGAGGCAGCGGGTCGGTGATTCTCTCTCATCATTGATGTTTCTATCTCTCTCTCTCCCTTCCTCTCTGAATTCAAGAAAAATATATACAAAAAAGTCTCCCAGAAAAATCCAGAGAGTGAGGGAGTCCATGGATTGTGTCCCATGGAGAAATTTGAGTGTCCTGGGGCTATATTCATTCATTCATTCATTCATTCATTCATTCACTCACTCATTCATTCATTCACTCACTCATTCATTCCTTCATTCACTCACTCACTCATTCATTCCTTCAGCAGGCATCCATCCCACACACAGACCCGGGACCCCGCGGGCCCTGAGAATGCCTTGTGGTGAATGCAGACGAGAGGGCAGGGCGGGGCCCTGAGGCTCACTCACCTGATGTCCAGCTGGAGGACCCACGGCACCGCAGAGAAACACTGGGCCAAACTGAACACAGCATCCAGGGACAAGCAGTTCTCACTGAGGCTGGGGATCACATGCATGGTATCAGCAGGGGTCCCAGTCTTGTTTCAAGTGACAAGACTGAAAGCACGCTCTGTGTGGTCAGAGCACAGGGCAGGGGAGGGCTGTCCCCGCGTCCGGACGATGAAACTCACTAGGAACTCTCATAGGTCAGCGTGCCTCTTCCAGCTTCCCACTCGGATGGGGAAACCGAGGCCCATAAAGCAGCCAGGTCTCGCCCAAAGTTACAAGACACACAGGTGACAGAGCTGCGATTGGACCCCGTGGCTCCCTCTGGCTGTGATGAACGTGGGGAGGGCTTGTAGGCGCCCGATAAAGGGGGGCGGTGCCCGGTGACCAATGTCTGTCCACCTGTCGTGGTGGCTTTATTTGCCATTTAAGGACGCCCGCCTCGGGACGGGGGCCCTGGTAGGTGCCTGCAGCCTCTCGCAGGCCCTGGGTCAGACTCGGCGTCCACAGTGTGGAGAAGGTCACGTGGGGATTTGCCCCGAAAGTTCCCATCACACAGCATTTGCCTGCAGTGGGGAGTCCCTCCTCCTCGCCCAGGTGCAGGCCCCTCCTCTCCTTCCCAGCATCCCAGGGAGCCTGTCGGAGCAGGAAGGGCCCCAGGCCACAGACTCCTTCTAAGGTTGGAGCTAAAGCACACCCCCCTCTACTGTTTATGTGTTAACTGACGGGAACCAGGGCTCAGGAGGTGATGGAACCTGCTCAAGGTCACACCGGGGACCGGGGACCTGGGACCTGGGACCTGGGACCTGGGACCGCTCTCCAGGGCTCCTATCGCTTTGTCCCAGAAGAGCTTGGAAGGAGGGGATGTGGGGCCAAGAACACAGGAGGCTTTGAGGGCCCGGGAAGTCTGGTCGCTGCAGGCAAAGGCTGGGGTTCCTGGCCTCCTACCAGACCTCCCCCCACCCCACCGAGAATCTCCCGTCTCTGCCAGGTCCTCCAGATGCCCCGGGCACCCTGCTTGGGTGTCCTGTGGGATCCGAACCCTCCCTGCCTACAGCTTGCACCTAGCCAACAGCCCCGCCCTGCACCCAGGGCCAGAATGGCTGCCAGCCTCTACATCAATCAGTCATACTTCCCACCTGCCTTGCCCGGGGCCACTGGGCCTCCCAGGAACAGATTCGGGAAGTGAAACCTTAAATCCAAAGCTGGACCGTTGAGTCACAGATGCCAGACTCGATATGAATGAGAATCACACCCTTTCCTGAGCACTCACCACGTGCCAGGGTCTGGGCCAGGCAACGGACATGCCTTTTCTCATTTAATCTTTCTGAGAAGCCACGGAGGGGGAGAGATGGGACATAAGAAGAACCCCCCTCACTGCCCCCCGCCCCCCGCCACATCCCCTCATTGCCATGAGGACAGCCAGCTACTCACTTCAAGGACTGCAGAGCGCCCAGCGCTGGGAGCCACCGAGCCAGCTGGGCAGCACCTTGGTCCCCCAGAGCATTCCTCGATAAGCTGGGAGGGTGGGGAGTACAGGTTGGTGGAGGGAGGGGTGGGCAGGAGTTCTGTCTCTCCATCCCATCGCCTCAATCACAAACCCCAGGTTCTTATCGAGGGGGTCAGGGATGGGCTTCAGGGGGAGTCAAGTGTGGGGGAACCTATATTCTAGGGGGAAGAGGCACAACTTTCACCAGATTCTCTACTGCAGCAGGAGGTCCAAATCTTAAAAAGCAAAACACAACCCAGCTCTCACTCACTGCTGAGCCCCACCCCCCCGCCTTCCGACAGCGCCACTCACTCGAGGTGGCCCAGGCGACAGCTTCCTTCCAAGGCCTTGCAGAGCTGCTCCAGGTGCTCAGCTTGCAAACCGCAGTGTGTCAGCCTGCGGAGGCAGAACCACAGGCCTGCAGCCCCGCCACAGAGGCCAGAGTGGGCCTGGCCCCAAGCACACAGGCTTGCAGGAGGGACTGGGGCGGACGCATCTGGCACCCAGACAGACAGACAAAGAGGGATCAACACGTAACACACAGACGTCACACAGAGGCAGAGGAAAACCAGAGTCAGAGGCACAGCGAGAGGGACACCAAGATGGACAAAGAGAGGAGAGAGAGAGAGAGAGAGAGAGAGAGAGCGAGCAGATGCACACACACACACACACACACACACACACACGTGCATGTGTGCATGGTGCCGGAGGAGGACAAACAGACAATGAGAAAAGGTCCACAGAAAACCAGACAGACATGATCTGAGAGAGACAGACAGAGGGAGGGAGAGGCAGATGGACAGAGAAGAGAGAGGCCAGAGGAGAACCGATGAGCGTCCTGGGGGGCTGAGCTGAGCCTCAGGACCTGAAAAGAAGGGGCTGCAAGCCCCCCATGCTCTCTGCCCAGAGTTCCCACACCCCCTCAGCTGCTGGAAGTTGGGGGCACTTAAGGGGGGGCTGGTGGGGATGGTGATTGTGGAGAGCTGGGCAGGAGAGTGGGAGGCAGGGAAGCCAGGCCCCAACTCCTGGCTGGAGCAGATCGTGTCATCCAGGGAGCAGCTGGGGCTGGGGGCAGGGGCGGGCTGCATGCAGAGGGAGGGAGGGAGCCGGAGCCACACCCAAGCCCTGCAGGTTGTCACTGTACCTGATCCTCGGGGAGCACGGGGGCAGCTCAGAGGACATCTGGAGCGTAAGGCTGTCAAGAAACGCAGCCCTGGAGAGACACACACCAGGCCAGGCTGAGCAAACGCCTCGCTTCCCACCATGCAGCCTCCACCCAGGCCTGGAGACCGCCAGACCTTGGTTCCACCAGGCTCCTCTGTGTCCTGGCTGTGTCACCTGGGACAACCACTTAGGCTCTTACTGGAGAATGTACATGAATTGCCTTAGTTTGGTGCTTGGTGCTCCATTAACCTTGGCCGTTAGCATCATTAATATCCTCCTCTTCACCATCATCGCCTTCAGAGATGCCAGCCTCAGCTTCAGGCAAGCCCCCGAAAGCTCAGACCCTACAGAAGACCTTGCAGGTGGACACCGAGGAGCACAGAGCTGAGTCTCTGCCTATGTGCTGGGCCGGGGCAATCCAGGAAGGCACCCTGGAGGAGGCAAACACTCTCCAAGGGTCCTTGTGCCAAAGGAAGCCAGAAGTTCTGGCCAAAATCAGACTCGTGGGCCAGGCGATCCTCGGGTTCAGGCCGAAGGGCTTGGGTCTCTCTGGCTACCCTGCGCCTGCCCCAGCGAGGTGCCATCTCCATCCTGAAGGACAGGGCTCTCTTCAGGCGCCACTAGGGGAACGGGACAGCATCTCTCCCTTGACCCTCCCCTTAGGGCTGCATCCCCCTCTATGCCCGCTGGCTTGCTGAGCCTATGTGAATGCCAAGGTTCCTTGGCAGTTGAGTGGCACTGACCAGCTGTGGGAGCCAGGGAGGGGGTGGCCCTGGCCCAGGGTGAGGTCGGGATGGTGTTGGGGCCCTACCTCTCCTGGGTCCCCTCCTGCTCCTCCGGTTCTGGGGCAAACGTGAGAACCACAGTTTTGTGCATGAGGCTGCGGAGAGAAGAGAGGGAGGAGGCAAGTTCCGGCTGCTCTGGATCATTTTGTTTTTGGTTTTTTTTTGTTAATCCTCAGCTGAGAATATGTTTCCATTGATTTTTAGAGTGGAAGGGAGGGTGAGAGACACAGAGAGAGAGAAACACTGATGTGAGAGAGGTTGCCTCCTGCACGCACCCCGACTGGGGCCGGGGGATCCAGCCTGCAACCGGGGTACATGCCCTTGACCGGAATCAAACCCTTCCGTCTGCAGGCTGATGCTCTCTCCACGGAGCTAATGGCCAGGGCCCGGGTCATTTTTCAGCCTGACCTGGAGGAACCTCCTAGTTGCCATCCCCCAGCCTCTAGCTGCAGTTACTTCCTCTGACCTTCCCTGACCCTCTGAGCTTCCAGGGCCTGAAGTCTTTCTTTCACAGATTTCATAAACTGTCATCAGCCCTCGTTTCCGGGCACGCCCTTGAAAGAAGACCTCAGTTCTGTGGTCTCTGTGGTTTGGGCCTCGGGCTGAAACCCTCCCTCTGTCCACCGGTGGCACCTGGGCTGAGGTTGCCTGCCCAGCAGAGGGAGGTCGCTGCCAGGTCGGGACAGACATTGAGAATCCACAGGAGGCTGTGACTTCCAGCCCGGCATCCCGAACCTCGCCTTGCAAACCGAATGTATATATTTTTTATGTATATATTTTTTCTCATTATAAAAGTCCCACTTCATCCCTATGGAGAACTTAGAAAATATAATAAAGTAAAAAGAAAATCACCCCCCCCCCGTCTCTCCCACGTATCAGTGACACTGACTTTGGGAGAGGGTCCTTCAAAGTATTTTGCTTTTAATGCAGTGAATGTTCTTTCCTTTTTCTTTTTCTTAAAAATGGGATTAAAATGACAAATTTTCTTCTAAAAATCAGGTTTTCAAGGGACAGATGCCACAAGAGTGACACAGTGTGGGTAATTATTGGTGGGAATTGGTGTTCGTTATACCACGCTCCCTACCTTGGAGTATGTTTGAAAAGCTTTGTTAGAAAAATGCCGTGTTAACAGGCTTCTGTTTGCTGTCTGCACAACTCCATACTAACCCTGCAGCCATATCGTGGTTTTTTGTTTGTTTGTTTTTTAAATATATTTTATTGATTTTTTACAGAGAGGAAGGGAAAGGGATAGAGAGTTAGAAACATCGATGAGAGAGAAACATCGGTCAGCTGCCTCCTGCACATCTCCTACTGGGGATGTGCCCGCAACCCAGGTACATGCCCTTGACCGGAATCGAACCTGGGACCTTTCAGTCCGCAGGCCGATGCTCTATCCACTGAGCCAAACCGGTTTTGGCCATATCGTGGTTTTGTTAGGTCCCTCTCTCTGGAGGCAACCGGGACTGGGAATGATGGGAGGAGCCGGAGCTCTGGGCCGGAGGAGGTTGTGGTGACAGGCGTCCACGGCCAGCTCTCACCTGATGTGCAGGTCTGCCAGGTTCTGGCACGTGCTCACTGCCTTCAGCACCCAGGGCACTCCCACCACCGAGAGCCCGTTGTCACTGAGGCTGTGGAGAGGAGGGGGGGCAGCCATCAGCAGGCGGCTGAAGTCCCCAGTCCCCTCCTCCTGGCTCAGCCGCTGCCTGGCTGTCCCCCTTGGGATGTCCTGGGTCCTTGGCCAGGGGGTCTCAAAGGATTCCAGCTCAGGTGGATGAGCCGAGAGACGCAGGACCCTGCCCCACTCAGAGAACCAAGTTCTCCAGCTGAGTGATCAGAACCGACCCACGGCTTTCGCCCCTCGGAGCCTCAGTTCCCTGGTGTGTAAAGTAGCCACCATTCTAAGCACATTTAACAAGTGGGGGAAACGGAAGCTGGGAGACGTTAAAGTACTTTCCCAGGGTCACAAAGCTACCAAATGACAGAGCCAGGATTTCAATACAAAGCTGAGGTTCCACATCAGTTACCCAGCCTCAACACCCCCACCCCAGCTAAGACCCAACACATGCCACCCAGACAGCACCCCCACTTTACCATGCAACAGCGTAGCATGCCCCACAGCTCAATACCCTTTATTCCCATCCCACCACCCCCACAACCCACCCCCTCACCCAACACTGTACCTCCACCCTCACACACCACTTCCCACCCCACCATCCCACCCCAACACCCCAGCACCCACCCATCCCATCCCCCCAACGTTGGCTCAATGCAACACTCCACCCCATCTCATCCCACTCCACCGGGGGCTGTTGTAAGGACAAACTAGAACGCAAGCCACTGAGGTACAAGGGACCCATTCTACCAGGGGCTTTCATAATTGGCTCATGTCAGAGGCAAGAGCAGGGCATGGTTGAGCCACTCGGACTTTGCTGGAGTTTGAAGCGGGGGGCGGTGGGGAGCAGCTCCCTCGGTGACGATAGGCATGGGGATCAGGGGTCGCAGGGACCTGCTGGGACTCTCGGGGCCCTGTTACCCAACAGTGGGGTGGGCACTCACTCCAGCTTCCCGGCGATGCGCAGCTGGGGGGCAGCCTCTGCCACCAGTCGACAGCCTTCGTCCTCCAGCTGGTTCCCTGAGAGGCTGAGACAGAGGGGCCCGCTGCCTGTGCTGCTGGGGGGTCCCTCCCCAGCCCTCCACATGCACACTCCCCCTCACTGACTTCCAGCAAAGCATCATTCTGGTAAGCGATCCTTCATACTAATGAGTGTAAAAGACTGTGTATGACCTGCCAGGCACTGTCCTAGGGGCATTTCCAATGATGGCATTTTTACTCCCCCTAACAACCCCAGGACGTAGGCGCTATTGTTACCCTCATCTTACTGATGAGTACGCTGAGGTTCAGACTGGTTAGGGCAGTTGCTCAAAGGCGGACCTGGGGTTTGAACCCAGGCAGCCTGACTTCACGGCCCCGCCCTCAACCATTAATTTATGGCCACAACCTACACAATTGCTTCTTGTGACCAACTTCATGATGATGGGGGCATATGACCTGGTCTGGGGTCAGGGAAGGCTTCCCTGATGTTTGAGCTGCAGGCCAGCAAAACTAGGAGTGCAATCGGTAAGGGGCGGGAGACAGATGGGGCCGGAGGAGCAGCACGCCAAGGGCACATTTGAGGACCGGAAAGGGAGCCTGTGTGTCTGGATAGAAGACTGAGCGGAGGGCAAGGTCAGATGGGGTTTGAGGGCTGGGAGCAGGGTTCTGGATCACAAGGGGTTTTAGGATTCGGGCTTCATCCTGAGCAGCGGGAAGGAGCGAAGGGGACAGGCAGGAGTGACACACAGATCACACCCTGCCAGGTGGAGGTGGCCAGGTGGAAGCGGTAGCTGTTATATAATAGCTTCCCCCAGATCCTTAAGGAGGCATCTTCCCCACACTGTCCACCCCAAACGGAGGCCCTTCCTACCCTGCCCTGCCCTCCGTCTTCTGCCCCAGAGCGCCCCATGATACTCACTCTACTTCCTCCAGGAGGGGGCCTTCCCGGAGCTGGGCTATGAGCATCTCCACGTCCCTGACGGTTAGCAAACACTTCTGCAGCCTGGAGTGGCGTAGGGGGCAGAGGGGCTCAGGGCAAGAAGGTGTACGATGCCTCCTCCAGCTCCTGGCCCCGCCGCGAGGCATGGGACCTGGGGGAGCCAGGAGGCTGACAGACCTGGTGTTGAATCCTGGCCCTGCTTCTCAGTCGCTGGGTAATCTCGGGCCAGGCACTTAAGCTATTTGAGACTCAATGTTCCCCTCTGTCAAATGGGAACAATAATGTGGACTTTGCAGAATTTGCAAAAGCATAACAACGAGGTGATGGATATAAAATACCACCGCGCCCAGCACACGGCGAGGGCCCATTAAATGACAGTTACTGTTGCCGTTGTTGTGCCAGATGCTCCTTGTTCAGGCTGGGACGGGTTATTCATGTCCTTTCCCTGCCCCAGGTCTGCTCTGCTTTCCCCTTCCCCCTCCCCACCCCCCTGCTGCGCCTCCCCTGGGAAGGCACCCTCCACCCATATCACACCCCTCCTCTGAAGGCCATGGATCCCATCGAGGTACCTGAGGGCCAAGCTTCTGCTCTGAGCCTCTTTCTGGCCGGCGTTTCCCCGTAGGGCTGGGGATCTGGCAAGAACAAGTCCAACATTGGCCTGGGCTGGGGAGCTCAGGCTCTGCTCTTGGCTTCTAGGGACTGAAGCCTCCTTAGCATGACCCACAGTGAATGAGCAACAAAGCCGGCTGCTTGGAGGTGCTCACGGCACTTTGCAGTGAAGCAGCAGGAGCAGACGGTTTGGAGTCAAATGGAACCTTTATTCAAATGCTGACTCTGCCATAGAGAGCTGTGCGGCCTTGGGCAAGTCACTTCACCCCTCGGAGCCTCCATTTTCCCTTTTCTGACATGAAATGACAATGCCTGGCATATACAGTGACGGAAGGACTAAACGGGGTGACCACAGCACAAAAGTGAAGCTAAGCAAAAAACAGCCGCTGTTGTGTAAGGGGCCATGGTCTCCACGTGTAGATGTACCATCCGCGGTTCAGGCCAGGAACACGGGCCATACGTGAGTCAGGCTGTGGGAAGCCACGGCACCTCCAGGCTCCCTCCCACTGGGCCAGGGGAGGGCTGGGGCTGGAGAGAAGCTGGGACAGGGTGAGCACCGTTTACACTGACTTGGAGATCAGTGCCATCCACAGAGCTACCCGGGATGATGGAAAGGTTTTGTGTCTGGGCCCCCCGTGGTGGGAGCCACTGGCCTCTTATGGCCAACAAGCCCCTGAAATGTGGCTGATGTGACTGATGACATGAAATGCCCATTTTACTTCATTTTAACTCATGTAAGTTCAAATAGTCACATGTGGCTAGTGGCTACCGTATTGGGTACCACCTCTCTGGACAGTCGGGGGTGGGGTGGGAGGGAGAAGGATAGTGGTCCTACTGAGTCACTGTATGGGTGGGGGACGGGAGGCTCAGAGCCGGGGAAGGACTTGCTCGGGGACACACAACGTCATCTGTTTTGGAGTCTCAGCTGGGAGTGGTGTGGGGAAGCACCGTTGGAATGTTCTTTCACGGAAAGGCAACTTCCCTTCCTTTGGCCACCCAGGACTGGCCAAGCTGGAATCCATGCACAGCAGAAGAGCCAGCGCTTGAGTGCCAGCTGGCTGCCAGCAGGGTTCTAAGCATTAATGTATTAATTTGTTTAATGCTCAGGACAACTGTAAGATGTAGGAACCATAATTGCCTTCCCCTCCCTTTTTTTTTTTTTTTGCAGTTAGAGACTTTCCCCCACGTAGTAACGCATAGTAACGCCGTCTGACAGTCTCTTCAATCCTCCCCCACCCCCTCCCCAAGGGGCTGGCTCACTCTGGGAGCAGAAGTCCTTTCCCAACTCTGGGAAGTCAGTCACTTCTCAGGGCAGCAGCAGCAGCAGCAGCAAGAAGGACCCCCACATGCCAGCTCTCCCTCAGCTCCCTTGGCCACCTTTCCCCACAACTGCCTGAGCCCAGACCAGCCCCCTCCCTAACTTCTTACCCAGGTAGCTCCGCAGCTGTCTCTGTGGGCGGGGAGAGAAGGATGATGAGGTCCGCCTCCCTGCAGGGCCAGACACAAGCCATGAAACCCGTGGGCTGGAAACCAGCACCTCACCCCCTCCCTGCGCACCCCGTGCTGTCCCAAACCGCCAGAGGAAGCGGACTTGGTGACAGACAATCACAAAACCGGCTAAGGTGCTCCAAATCAGACATGTAAAAGGGTGACGAAGCCCTTGCTTGACGAATCCAGTGTTTCAAAAAGCCAGGAAAACAACTTTTACGAGAGAGATCATAGAAATCAGGAACGCACAGATTTTATAGGAGTTCCTGTGTTTTAGGATTAAGAGGCATAGATAACACTTAACCTGCCCGTGATCCCACAGGCAGCGCTGGTTCAGCACCACGGAGAGCGACACGGGGCGCCTCATTCCGAGCTATGCCTATACTTCCTAGATTTTTTTTTTCCTTTTCGTTGATTCATTCCTTCATCCCTCTGTTGGTCCGTCCATCCATCTTTCCATTCATTCACGATTTGTTGAGTACCAGGTACCAGGCCCGAGCTAGGCTCTGGACACACGGATGTGAGTAAAACAGACTCAAGCATGGACGTCTTACACACTACGGCTTCCTCTTTTTCCTAGCCCCTCCTCTTTTCTCAAGACCCTGAAGGCCAGGCTCCCACGCCTTCTGCTCACCTGACTTGCAGCATCCTGATAGTCGGGCACGTGACTGCCACCTCGGTCAAGCCCAGCAGGGTCGCCATGGAGACATTGTTGTGGCTCAGGCTGCATGATTGAGGCAAAGGTGTCAGGAGTGAATCCCCCATCTCATGGGCCCCAGACCTTTGCTCTCTAAGGTCGGAGGGCGACTCAGGCAGGTGGAAAGGCCGCTTACTCAAGCTTCCGGAGCGTCGGCAGGCAAGGGAGGACCTTCACGATGCTCAGCAACTCCTGGTTCTTGAGCTGGTTGTCCTGAAAGCTACAAGGGAGACCAAGTCCCTCAGCCCTGGGGTGGGGACCCTTAGAAGCTCCAGTTGGCAAGGGACGGGCATGGCCACCCTCATGGGGGAGACACAACACAGGGTCCCAGAAGGAGTTGGTGGCCTGCTCCATGGTATTCAATAGGTCCAGCTGGGAGGCAAGGCCCTCTGCTGGCCTCGATACTGTCCTCATTCAGCCCCTCTGGTGGACCAAGGGACCCAGCGGGTGGACTATGAAGGCTTCGTGAGGTGGGGTGAGGAGACCCAGCACCCTGCTCTCAGGAAAATGTCTGGGATGTGCCTGAGGCTCAAGTTCATCAGGGCCTCTTGCCTCCCAGGTGATGAGTGGCCTAGGCTGGGATGCAGGAAATGCCGCTTCCGGCCTCAGCTCTGGCTCTGACTCACCAGAGCCCTAGGCCAAGCACCTTCCTCTCTGACCTCACATTCCTCACCCATCAAATGGGACCCACAGCCCAGGCCTGCCCGGGTTCCTGCCTGGATTCCTGGCATCCACAGCCCAGTCCTGCCCGGGTTCCTGGCATCCACAGCCCAGTCCTGCCCGGGTTCCTAGCTGGAGGGACAGAACTGAAGAGTTCGCGGTGCCTTTGTGTGTGACCGCTCTGGTCAGGAAACATGTTTGGAAATGCTGAACTTGTTGACATTTACTTCTCTAATTATTGAGGGTGACCTTGATCTTTTCTTCCATCGGGCACAGTGAGCATGCATGGAGACACCCAGCAGGGGGGACAGAGCAGAGCTGTGGCCCAGCTAATGCTCCATTACGCAAGAGGCGCACCCTAGTGCTAGGCTGCACCTAGGGATGAAGGGGTGCCTTTTCTACAGCTCACAAAGGTGCCAGCTAGCACTGGGTCCGCGCGTGAGCTGCTGAGGAGGCGCTCTGGCCCCACCCTTCTCCAGCCACTCATCATGGACACCGGTAGGAGTATGTATGTGGATCTAAGTGTGCAAGTGTGTGTGCGCTGCACATATGCATACCTTCGAATGTGCATGCATGTGGGGCATGTACTTAAGTGAGCAGACAAATGCACGTGTGTGTATGTTTCATGCAGTTGTGCATGAATGTGAAGGTGTGCGTATGATTCGTGCATTTATGGGAACCCACAGTGCCCAACACCAGCCTACTTACTGCCATCCCCTCTCAGGGTCACAGAAAGAGGGAAGGGGGCCTCAAAACTCAACCTCCTTCAAAATGGCCCAAAATATTGGATGAGAGAAGCACTTATCTGGGTCTTTAGGAGCCTTGAGTTTGGATCCAGCCCCACCCAGCTATTAGACTAGTGCCTCCCCTCTCTGAGCCACACTGAAAAACTACCAGCCAGGGCCCCTGAACATGCAAGCCCTGGGCGTGACCTCTTCCCTAGGCCGGTGAACCCTCCTGGAGATCACTCACCTGACCTCTTCCAGGTGTGGACAGAGGGGCAAAGCCTGCACCAGGTGGTAGATGCCTCGGGCAGTGATCTTACTTCCTGCTAACCTACAGGGTAAGCAAAGATGGACGGGAGAAGGGGGGATAGGAGGGGGGTAGCCCCGATCTGCCCTGTGTAGGGTTGAGGGAAGGGAGGAGAGTTCTGCATCCCCAGCGGAGGACCCCTCTCCATTCCAAGTCCTGGCTCACCCCAGCTTCTTCAGGCTCCCCATTGTCGGCAAGCTCCCGGAGAGGGCTTCTGCAAAGGCGTCCCCACACTTCCTGCTCTTAAAGCTGCCACAGGGGGAGGCAAGGTGGCAGATAATCAATGCTGGGCGGGGCTTAGAGGTCATACCCACCCCTCCTCCGACAGAAGGAACCGAATACAGTAACGTTAATAGTAGTTGTTGCCCGAGCCAGTTTGGCTCAGTGGATAGAGCATCAGCCTGTGGACCGCAGGGTCCCCGGTTTGATTCTGGTCAAGGGCACATACCTCGGTTGTAGGCTCCTCCCTGGCCCAGGCCCTGGTCAGGGCTCATGCAGGAGGCAACCGATCGATGTGTTTCTCTCACATTGATGTTTCTCTCTGTCTTTCCCTCTCTCTTCTCCTCTCCCTAAAAACCAATGGAAAAATATCCTCAGGTGAGGATTAGCAGGGGAAAAATGTAGTAATTGTTATTGCTGTTGTTGTAATGGTTGTGGTAGTAACAAATACATATCATGGCACAGACTGCTAACTGTCCACGGAAACCCATCCTCCGTGCAGGGAGCTATACCTGGGAAGATGGTTTCTCAGCTGGAGGCGGCATTACCCAGCCTCCCTTGCAGCTCAGTGTGGCCATATGACTACTAGTATGTTCTCACCACTGGGATGTGCCTGGAGAGATGTGCCCTATTTCCGGGAATGAGCTTTACCGCACGGAGTGTGTCTAATCTTTTCCTTCCCCCAAGCCAGAGCACAGCTAGGCCCCTGTCTCAGCTTTGACCCTGCAGATCCACATGCCCAAGGAGACGATGAGCAAGAATGGGAGGAACCAGGTCCCTGTGCGACCAGTGGAGCTGAGCAATCCCACGGCCCCGGACTCTGAGTCTTCCCGGAGAGAGAAAGAAAATGCTACAGTATTGTATCCACTCTATTTTGGGGAGGGTGGGGTGAGGGTCTTTGTTCCTGCAGCTGAGCCTTTTCTCTAGCTGCTACACACACTGAGCCTTTCTTGTGTGCCAGGAGCTGTGCTAAGTGTTTTTCATGCATTCTCTCACCTCACAACAACCCTATGAGGTAGGTTTTATTACTGATTCACTTGAGGGATGAAGAAACGCAGGCTGAGAGGTTAAATAACACTGAAGTCAAAGAGCCTCGAGCAGCACAGCCCGGATCAGCAGCTCCAGCCCATGACTGAGAGAGGGAGACTGACCATCCAGATCCCATGACAAGAGGAGACCCAATGGACCCCAGAGGTCCTGGTGAGGCACGGTGAGTCTAAGGGACAGGAAGGGCCCGTCCTCCCTGGCACCCACGAGTCCTACCCAGTCTCCCACAGCGGGGGTCTGCCGGGTGGGTTGCCTCCACTCGCCCCAAAGTCCAGGTCCCTGCACTACCCTTCCTCACCTGAGACTCTCCACCCGCCCACAGCCTGCCAGGGCCTCAGGGCAGCGGGGCTCCAGCGGGCAGCCCTCGAAATCCAGGTGGATGGGGGCCTCCCTGTGCCCCAGGACGTTGGTCAGGGCAGCCAGGTCGGCGTAGGTCAGCGGGAAGTTGTGGAAGGGCAGCTGGCAGGGGAGGCTGCGGGCCATGAGGCTGGCCAGCTCCGGCTCCTGTGTCTCGCCCACACAGCGACACAGCTCTACCACCTTGGGCCCCGTGAGCCTGCGCGTGGCCAACTTCTTCAGTGCCTGTATGACTGCGGCCTGCTTGGCGCCCACCCACGCCTCACCCCGCTCTGCCAGGTGGCAGAGGAAGGGATGGCAGGCGGAGGATGCCAGACCCGCCAGGAAGGCGGGGAGGTGGTCCCAGAGGCCCAGTCGGGCTTTGGTCCGCAGCAGCCAGCGAGAATTGAGGGTGACGTGGCGGGCGAGTGCGTCTTTGTCCACCTCGGGACTGGCCATCAGATGCAGGGCAGCCAGAAACTCCTGCAGGCTGAGGTGGGTGAAGGCATAGCCCGGCTCCTGCTGCCGGGGGCCTGTGCAGACGCAGAAGGAGGTCAGCAGGCCCAGGGCAGCCCCGAAGGCCATCATGGCTGGAGGGATGTCTCCTGCAGAGAAGATCACCTTTCCAGTCTCCAGGCCCCTCAGGGCCACCTCCCCCAGGCCCCTCAGGGCCTCGGCAGGCTGGTACCCGCGGGGGCTGAGGGCGAGCACCATCTGCACGTAGTTCTGCGTCACGGTGGGCAGGAGGGCCGCAGACTGGCCCGGAGAGAGGTCCGGGAGCAGGTGGCGGAGGCAGAGGCAGGCGATCCGGCACAGGGCGGGCGCCGCGCACATGCTCCGGAGGTGTCTGTTTGCCCGCAGCTCCGCCAGGGCCGCCTCCCGGGCCGGCTGGTTGCTGAAGAAACGGCCTACGTACTCCTCCACCCGCGGCCCGTCGAAGCCCCACAGGTGGACGGTGGCCGCCTCGGTGGGCAGGCAGTCCGGCAGCTTCCCTGGCCGGGAGGTGGCCATGACCCTGCAGCCGGGCAGGAGGGTCCCCCGGCACAGGCCAGAGAAGAGGGCGAGGGCTGGGCCTGGCGCCTCGGGGCCCGCGGTCTCCCCGCGGGGATGGGGGTGGAGGGCCTCCTCCAGCCCGTCGAAGATGAGCAGGACCCCCTTGGCGTTCCTCTCCAGGTACTGGAGGACGGCGTCGGGGCCCTCCTCGGGGCGCAGGTACAGGTCGAACAGGAGCTGGGGCAGCGTCAGGGCCTCCGCCAGCAGGTTGAGCTGGCGGAACTCAAACAGGAACAGAGCCTGGAAGCGGTCCAGCTGGCCGTCGGCCCACTTCTGGCAGAGCCAGCGGGTCAGCGTGGTCTTGCCCATGCCCGCCTTCCCCAGGAGCACCATGACCCTCGGGCCCTTGTCTGCCCTGGGGCCGAAGAGGTCCTGGAGGCTCAGGTCAGCGCCATCCTCTGCCCTGGGGCTCCCCGGCGCGGCCCCCTCCTGAGTGCTGAAGGGTGCTGTGGCCCGGCTCCACTGCAGGATCGGGGGGACGTAGGCCTGGTGGAAGGCGAGGGGCTGCCCTGGCCCCGGGAGCTCGCCGCCATAGCGCTGCTGGGCCGAGGTCCTCAGCCGCTGTAGGTACCTCTTGGCCAGTTCTGCTGGGAGCAGGGAGATGGCATGAGGCTAAGAGGCCTCCCCTTGCCCCCAACCTCATCCCAGTATCGGCTGCTGGGATCCTACAGCCCCAGCTGTGTTATGTGGGAGGGGGGGTCGCAGGAGCACCCAGGGGCTCTGGTGCCACCCAAGTCCCTAGAAGGAACTGCTTCTACCGAAGCAGAGACTCTGGCAGCTGTTTAACCAGGTGCGGAAGCGGGATCATGGCTCTGTGTTTGGCAACAGCATGGGTGGCGTAGTTTTCAATAAGATGGGGAAAGGGGAGAGGGCACTTCCTTAGCAACTTCTTCTTTTTGCAGCTTCTTATCAGAACAACCTCTTCCTGCCATATCTGAGAAATCTGTGCCCCTCCCCACCATTTCAGTTCTGTAATGCCCAGGGCAGGGGAGGGGGGGTGGGTGCTAACGACCTGACCAATCAGAACTGTGGGAACTGGGCCCCCCACGGAGCCAGGTACTGACTTTAGAATTGCTGAGTTATTGGGGAATCTGGGGTGGAACCAGGGAAAGGACTGGGGCCACTGTTGGGGGCCAGCGGGAGCCCCGGCGGGGGGACATGAGGTAGCAGTCTATTTTATACCCCATGGGGGTTGGGTTTCCCAGCTGGTGGGGAACAAGGACTTCTGCACAACTGGTGGAAAACAAGGGAAGCTCGGTCTCTTCTAGCCCCTTGGCCAGTCCTCAGCGTCCCCGTCTCCTCCCCATGTGCCTCAGGGCTTCTGCTTTTGGGGAGTTCTCCCTGGTATCCTGTTTACCTCTAAACTGGCCAATGAGGGCCCAGGCCTGAGGTTATGATGGTCACTTCCCTGGGGCCCCTCAACCCTGAGGACGGGGGTGTCCCTGGAAGCAGCTAAATGATAAAGCTGCAACCTGTTGGGCTGCTTCCAGCTCCTTCAGCTGAGCCATCTCTGGAGAAGCCCCCTGGTGGCCTGTTGGGGAGGCCCCTCCTGGCCAGATGCCACCCTCTCCTCTGCCCACCCAGGACCTTCGATCCTTCTTTCGTGGAAGCTTGGACTACAAGATCCGCTAGGTCCCTGGAGGCTCGTCGGCAGGGGACAGAGTCCAGGATCTGTGTCCTGGCCCCAGTGCCATCCAATCCCTATGTTCAGGTCCCTCCCCGCCTTGGCACCCACCGAGCTGCTGCCTCCTGAACTGCTTCCGGCGGGGTGAGGACCCGCAGCTCTGACGAGGCCGCTTGAGGCCTGGAAAAAATGAAGGAAAGCGGAAGGGGTGAGGTTTCGGGGCCGAGGAGGTAGGTACCCAGTACTGTGGGGAGCTCCATTCCACAAACAGGAGGCAGGAAGACAAGCGGACCCACACTCAGGGATTGAGTGAAGGCAGCTCAGTGATAAGGGCCAGGAGGGACCAGGGACCGGGACAAACAGTCTGGCTTTGTCGGGGAGCTGGGATGATGGGTTGGATGTTTCCTGTCAGAGCTTGATGTTTCTGCCATGCACGCCTCTAAGTAAAGAGTCCACACATCTACAGAAATAAAGGTTCTGAACCCACTTGTGAACATCATATTCTATGGTGAAAGACCGAAAGCTTTCCCTCTAAGATCAGGAACAAGACAAGGATGCCCGCTTTCACCAACTCTATTCAACACAGTCCTGGAACTACTAGCCAGAGCAATGAGGCAAGAAAAACAAATAAAAGGCATCCAGATTGGAAAGGGGCGGGGGACATGTGCAGGTGCATCAGGGGCAGAGGAGGATGGTTTATGGGAAATGGCTGGGACCAGCCAGCGGCCTCCTCTGGGTTTGACGTGGGAACCCAGCATGCTCACCACCCCCCTCCTGCTCCCCAACCCCAGGCCTCACCGTGGTGGAGCGGAGGTTCAGGTGGGCTTTCTGCACCCGTTTCCGAAGGACCGGGAAACCCTGAGAGAGGGGGGGGAGAGTACAATACACGTGGGATGTGCTGGGACCAGCTCTGATGCCTGCCTCAGGGATCACCCAAAAGGGTGAGTCCCCAGCGAGGGAGAAATCAAGTTTACACTCAGCGATCTGTGGAGGGCACAGCTTGGTGATGAGCCGAGAAGGCAGCCGGGGCAGAAATGTGTGTGTATATGTAGGTTTGTGCATGGCTGGGTATGTGTGTGCACATGTGTGTATGCATGCATGCATGCGTGTGCATGTGTTTGTGCACATGGTGAACCCCCTGCATTTCCTGCACGCTGCCTTGTGGTGGGGGCATGGCGTGAGTCCTCCCCATCTCCCCACAGTGCTGTGAAAGCAGAAGGTGCCCGAGAAATGCCCCTGGACCTGAACAGGTTCAGTCTGCAACCAGCAGTACAGCTCCGAGGGCTCTCCCTGCGCCTGCTTCTGACCTCGTTGCAAGAAGCACGCTCTGGGGCATTATGGGCTATTTGGCATTTCCTGGCTGCAAGGAGTCACCTATTCTTTCTCTCCTGGCATCTTGCCTCCCTGGACAACTGGGATGGTACGAGGTGGAAGGTCCCCAGCTGATGTGGAGGCAGTAGGGAATTTGCTCTAGGAAGTGTCCAGAAACATGGAATCCTGTTCCTGGCTTGAGTCAATTGTGTGACTCAAGTGGGGCCCCGTCTTCCCTGGGCCCCTCTGCCCCCCTCGTGCACGCCCTTACCGTCTCCATGGCCCCACGTGCTCAGCAGCTGCACCTCCAGCTCCAGGGGCACCTCCAGCTCCATGCACACACAGTGGATGAAGGCCTTCCAGGTGGCCGGGCCTTGGGTGTGCAGCTCCCTGAGTTGTAGGAGGACCCTCTGTGTGGGGTCTGGGGCCTCGTTCCTGGAGCCCAGGTCTATGTTGGGGAGGAAGAACTTCACCTTGGCACTCAGCCATTCTGGATCATTGCTGAGCAGACTCACGAGCCAACCCCACTGGTTCTTGGTGCCCAGCCGGAAGCTGATGGGGTCCATGAGGAGCTGGCCCTGCAGGGACAGGGTAGGCAGGTGAGCTGGGGAACAAGTGAGGTGGGGGACAGGTGAGCTTTGGGGACAGGTGAGCTGCGGACAGGTGACTGTGGGGACAGGTGAGCTGTGGGGACAGGTGAGCTGGGGGACAGGTGAGCTGTGGGGACAGGTGAGCTGGGGGGGGATAGATGAGCTGGGGGTGCAGGTGAGCTAGGGCCAGGTGAGCTGGGGAGCAGGTGAGCTTGGGGACAGATGAGCAGGGGGCCAGGTGAGCTGGGGGGACAGGTGAACTGGGAGATAGGTGAGCAAGGGGATAAGGCAGCTGGGGGGAAGCCAACTGTGCCTGTGTCCCGGCTCTGAAATGGTCTAGTAACTAGACTCTAGTTCATTCCCTGGAGATGGTGTCCTGGGACTGCTTTATTCATCATGTTTCCATGGACCCCTTTGTGATGCTCTCTGTCTGAGTTAAGCACTTGTCTCCCAAAATTTGTTCTCCCCTTCTTCCTCAGTACCAGAACCCCTGAATATTCCCTGGTCATCTGGAACAGACTCTATTTCCAGCCTCCCTTGCAGTTAGATGCAGCCATGAACTTAAGTGTTGGCCAATGGGATGTGGGTGGAAGTGTTGTGTATCCATCTTTGCTTCTTCCTGTGGCTGGAGTGATGATGTGATGACTGAGCCTTGGGCAGCCATACTGGGCCATGAGGTGGACGCCCACAGGGACTGGCAGTACTCCAGGTCGTGGCTGCTGTTTTAGACGGGGCCCAGGAAAGAGGACAATGTGGACCAAGGTCCCAGTTGATTCACAACAAGAACGAGGAGCAGGAAATAAACGTTTGTTCTCATGAGACACTGGGACTTTGTAGGTTGTTTGTTATGCAGCATAAACAAGCCCATCCTGGCCGATACACACTCACAACCGACCTTCAGCAAGTCCCTTCCCTCTCTGGGCCTCAGTTATACCATCTATAAAATAGGCAGATCAGATGCTATCTTAGGCCCTTGCTGATTTTGTGTCCACTGATGTTCACTCTCATGAATGGGGGCTAAGTATAGGTTTGTTGTTTTGGGGACAGGCCCAGTGGGGCCAATCTGGGCAGGGAGCAGTCCTGGCAGTGGGTGGGGGAGTAAAGGAGTGATCGGGAGGAACAGAGAGGAGGCAAAGGGGAAAGATGACTTACTTGGCTTCCTGGTTCATCATAGATGCTCTAGGGTGTCCGTGGAGACAGTCTCATGGGTACCTGGGCCAAGTCCTGTGCCTTGAGCTGGATTTGCTGGTTGTTTCCATAGGACAGGCCTCTAAGGAGAGAGGAGACAGGGTGCTGTCTGCATATCCCAGAATGCAAGGGGAATGCTGTGGAGAAGGCACCAGCCTTAGCCCTGCCCTTCGTCTGACCTGAAACAGTTCCCTCACCTTCGTGCACAGACCCTGCTCTTCTTGTCCCTGGACTGGCACTGCTCACCTCCCGGGGTCACCTCCTGCCACACCTGGCCCAGAGGAGGTGCCTCTTCCTCCTCCAACTCGGACACCCACCTGACAGTGACTCGGGGTGTCACAGTGAGCCCTTCAAACACGGCCGACTCACTACAGCCCCCTTGTTGGGAGGAAAATGGAATAATCCTCACCGCAGATGCCAGCTGCCTTTCCCAATAAAATTTCAGAAAGGTCAGGATTTGCCATCTCTTTCTCATTACATCAGGAAGTAGTTTTATGTATTATTATTTTTTAATCCTCACCCAGGGATATTTTCCCATTGATTTTTAGAGAGAGTGGAAGAGAGAGGGAAAGACAGAGAGAAACACATCAATTGATTGCCTCCTGCACGAGGCCCAACCAGGAACCGGGTCTGGGAGGAGCCTGAAACCAAGGTACGCGCCCTTGACCAGAATCATACCCGGGACCCTTTGGTCCCGAGTCCAATGCTCTATCCACTGAGCCAAACTGGAAGCAGTTCTAAACAATTGAGAGTTAACATTCTATTCAATGAGAAAACCCAGAGGCATCGGTCACTCACGCCCTGGCACAAATGTGTACCGAATGCAGCCGTAGGGATTTTGCCTGACAAGTTGGAATGGACAAGAGAAAAGATGATGGAAAAGTAGGTGGAAGACAAAGAAAGGAAAAGGACCAGTCTGTGCACTGATTGTCTATCTAAGGAACGTGAGGACGGCAACCACAAAGTCCCAGAACTTTAGATAAATCCACATACACAGGGCATGTTCTCATATAACAGAGGTCCGTACTGCGGTTAGAAATAAGGAAGAAAAAAAATAGCCAGTTGCTCAGTGGTTAGAGCGTCAGCCCTCGGACTGAAGGGTTCCATTCCGGTCAAGGGCACCTACCTCGGTTGCAGACTCCATCTCCGGCCCCAGTCAGGGCATGTGCAGGAAACAGCCAATCAATGTGTCTCTCTCACGTAGATGCTTCTCTCTGTCTCTCCCCCTCCTTTCCACTCTCTCTAAAAATCAATGGGAAAAAAGAAAGAAAAGAGGGGCTGGGGGTACTAATGACATTTCTTTAAACAAAATTGTGAAATTCTAGCAGAAGAAATGGAGAGAGGCAAGAGTGAATGGAGAGAAAGCCTTGCTTACCACCCCGTCTCGGGAGATCTGCTAGCCCCACACTCTGACTCCCCGCAGCCCCCCCACCCTCTGGAGTCTTGGGGGCTCTGCCCCGCTGAGGTTTGGGCAGAATCCTGGGCAACTGAGTTGTGTGGCTCTGGAGTGGAAGACGGTGCACCCCCCCCCCCACATTCCCCCAAGACTGACTGGCACCTCCCCTTCTCCTGACTCCCAGGGGCCCGCCCTGCTGAGCCTGGGCGCCTGGCAGACTGTGGGACAGACTGACTTGTGTGGCTCTAGGATGGGGCCCTTTTCCCTCGCACACCCCACCGGTGCAGAGCCCTCCCTTCACGCGGCCAAATCTTGGTCTGCTTGGGCCTGATAAACCCTTCCGGCCTCCCCCTGATGACTCCCTGAGACCCTGCCCCCCACAAAGGTGTGCAGGCACCCAGCTAGACGCGGTGTCCCCGGGGACATTGCTGAGCTCCCCCGGGACCCGGGCTGGTAAAAGCCGGCCTTGGTGCACAGCTTGGTTCTCCCCCGACACACCCAGGCCCCGCAGAGGCACCACACACTGTGGATCGCTTTGTGGCTCCAAACAGGTTGTCCAGGGCCAGTCACAGGAAGTGTCTGACCTTGGCCTGCACCAGAGTCCCTCCCAAGAGGCCCCAGAACCAACATACCCAGTGGTCAGCTTCAGACAACATCCGAGCAGGGTCCAATTAGCTTCGCAGGCGGCATGTCCAGTTGGAGGCACGACAGCCTGCTGACATCTTTTCCAGTGTCCCTCGGGGGCTCACTCCACCTTAGGGCTCCGAGGCTAGAGCATAATTTAGGTCAAGATGTGACCTTTCGCCTGCCCATTACTCAGGTCGGGCCTCTGTCTTCTACTGCCTCCGGGGCTGCTGATTATCTGGGGGAAAGGCTAGGTCTGTGAAGAGAGAGAGAGAGAGGGAGCGCTCTATTTCTACAGGTAGGATTTAGAACGAAATTTAAGCCCTGGCTGGTTTGGCTCAGTGGATAGAGCGTCAGCCCCCAGACTGAAGGGTCCCGGGTTCGATTCTGGTCAAGGGGGCACGCACCTCGGTGGTAGGCTCGATCCCTGGCCCTGGTCGGGATGTGTGTGGGAGGCAACCAATCGATGTGTGTCTCTCACATGGATGTTTCTCTCTGTGTGTCTCTCCCCCTCCCTTCCACTCTCTCTAAAAATCAGTGGAAAATATCCTTGGGTGAGGGATAAGAAACAAAAAAAGAGGTAATTAATATAAATAAGTAAATAAAACATCAAACTACATTCATTGCAAGTCATAGGGCCCCTCTGTTTCAGGAGATCTACCACAATGGAATATTATACAGCAACAGGGGGTGAGCCACAAAAACATCAAGCCCCAACGTATATTAGTAAGTACATTCAAATTTTAAAAGCTGCACACGTGTACGTTTTAAATGTGTGTGTGTGGTGTATGTGTGTGTGTGTGTGTGTGTGTGTGTGTGTGCGTGTATGTGTCCTTGCATACAGAGACCAGCTCTAGGGCTACGCGAGAAACGTGACAGGATTATCTAGGGAGGGGCCTGGGAGACACAGGCCAAGGAGAGCCCTTTATACCATACTCTGGACCACTTTATACAATTTGAGCTTTTTAAAAGGTGTGTTTTGATTTAAATATATATATACACACACACACACACACACACACATATATAGATAGATAGATATAGCCTGGCCAACATGGCTCAGCAGTTGAATGTTGACCTATGAACCAGGAGGCCATGGTTCCATTCCCGGTCAGGACACATGCCCGGGTTGCAGGCTGGATCCCCAGTGTGGGGTGTGCAGGAGGCAGCCGATCAATGATTCTCTCTCATCATTGATGGTTCTATCTCTCTCTCCCCTCTCCCTTCCTCTCTGAAATCAATTATATATACATATATATATATATATATATATATATATATATATGAATATTTACACTAAAAACTAGAACAGACATTTCCTCAATATGTGAGGAAGAGAAATACACAATGATGACTAAGCACAGAAATCACCAGCAATGCCCAAGAGAAATGGAAGTTCCCACACAACTCGAATAATACCTAAAACGGACTTTGGAAGGCAACAAATGAGGATAAATATCTGCATCAAGTATGACAGAGTCTGAAAATTCCAATAAAAAAGTAATTTCTACACCTTGAGGATATATTTTATTCTACTTTTTAGTTTAACGTTTTTATGTGTGTTCCAGGGACAAACCTACATTTTCACTAGAACTGAGGTCGCACAAGTTGAACATATATAATGAATATTTGCTAAGTGCCCGGCGTGTGCCTTTAGTTAGACCTTCTGTTTTAATTCTCCCAACTACTACTCTTGGATGCCTCGTATGCATTTAAATTTTTTCTGGGTCCACCCAGCTGGTGTGGCTCAGTGGTTGAGCTTCAACCAATGAACCAGGAGATCATGGTTCAATTCCCAGCTGGGCACAACCCCTAGTGGGGGGTGTGCAGAAGGCAGCCGATTCATGATTCTCTCTCCTCATTGATGTTTCTATCTCTCTCTTCCGTTCCCTTCCTCTCTGAAATAAATAAAAATATTCTATTCCATGAACATTTAAAAATATATTCTTTTTTAATAAAGAGGGATTTTTGTCTCACAAAGTATACCAAAATAAAGTTTAGATGGGGCCAGATATAATGCAAAACGTTAAACCATGAAAGTATTACAAGAATATAGATAATCACTTTGCAACAATTCATAAAGCTGCATCTTTCATTTTTTGCATGTTTCCTGCATTATATTTCACAACTAAAAAGTTAAAATTTTTTAAATGCTGAAAAAGGACATGCGGAAAAGTCTTAAAAATAATGCAGAGAGGACCTAGCCAAGCATGACACAAAATCAGAGATCACAAAGAAAAACTGCATGAAATTGACCAGATATAAATCAGCATTGTTGCAGTGACAAAGAACACCACAAATAAAGTGAAAAAACAGATGACAGGCTGGAAAATAACACCTGCTAGTTATGTCACAAAGGCGTAATGTTTTAACATGTCAAGACGCACTACAAATGAATAAGGAAAAAAGTAACAACCTGATAGAAAAGTAGGCAAAGAACACAGACCGTTTACCAAAAAGGAAATACAAATCGCTCTTCAAAATGTGAAAAGGTGTTCAACCTCACAGGAAATACACATTAAAACTGAAAAAGGTATAGGATTTTCCAGCCCGTGGGCTGGCGAGGATACTCCATGGCAAGGTTGTAAATTAATTGGCATTTTGAGGCATTGCTGTAGGAGTGTGAACAGATACAACCTTTACCTTCCAACAGATGCCACATGACCACACCTAGCAATTCCATGCCCAGGTATTTAGCCCATAGGTATTTTCGTAATTCGCATAGTCACGTTTGCTCAAGTATATTTAATGTGGCCTTAGTTATAATAGGAAAAGACTGGAAAAAACCTACCTAAATGGCCATCAATTGTGGTGCATTTATACACTGAAAGCCTACGCAGCCCGTGAAAAGCAAACAGCAGAACTAAGTGGAATGATGTGAATCAATGTCCGAGATATATTAAATTTTTTAAAAAAAGAACCAGGACAGAACAGCATCTAGGCCAGTGATGGCGAACCTTTTGAGCTCGGCGTGTCAGCATTTTGAAAAACCCTAACTTAACTCTGGTGCCGTGTCACATATAGAAATTTTTTGATATGTGCAACCATAGTAAAACAAAGACTTATATGTTTGATATTTATTTTATATATTTAAATGCCATTTAACAAAGAAAAATCAACCAAAAAAATGAGTTCGCGTGTCACCTCTGACATGCGTGTCATAGGTTCACCATCACTGGTCTAGAGTAAGCTGCATTTGTGTAAGAAAAAAATAACTGTGTGTTTCTAAATACATGATGATTTCTGAAACATAAAAGTAATTATCCCTGGGGAGGGGAAGCTTTAGTATTTTAAAAAATATATATTTTTTAATTGATTTCAGAGAGGAAGGGAGAGGGAGAGATAGAAACATCAATGATGAGAGAGTCATGGATCAGCTGCCTCCTGCACGCCCCACACTGGAGATCAATCCAGAAACCTGGGCATGTGCCCTGACCGGAAATTAAACCGTGACCTCCTGGTTCATAGGTTGACACTCAACCACTGAGCCACACCGGCTGGGTGAAGCTTTAGAATTTCGTACTGTGTGCATGTGTTATCTGATCAAATTCATTTTAAAATCGCATATGTCTATTACCTTCCCTTTACTGGTTGTCATGCAAATCTCCCGTGTTCGTAGTTATTTGGGTCGGGGTATCCATCAAAGAACGAGAAAAACATTTCCGGTCGCTGTGCTTCTATCACTTTCTCCGCCCGTGGCTAGCAGTTTTTGATTTACACGTGAATGTGGAGGTTCGTCTTACTCAAATGTATACATTTTTATGAAAAAACAAGAGTGCAGAGCTGCTGCCGACGGAACAAAGAAAATAAAACCTAATAAACCTCAAGCCTTCATCTTTGCATTTCAGCACAGGGTCCCCTGGCCTTCGGTCCAAAGGGTTACCTCTAAGAATCACCAGTGCATCCGTGGGTGCTCAGACATGGGCTCAGGAGGGGCCCAGGGTCCCTCAGCCAGCGCCCACAGGGAGCCCAGGCGTGCGGATCTGCAGGCCGGTGGTCTGGCCACTCCAGGTCCAGGCTGCAGAGGGCAGAGGGCGGGCCTGGAGGCCTGGTCGGGGTGCTGGTCTCACTGAGGGGTCTCTCTGGGAGTGTCACTCCACCCGGGCTTCAACTTGACAGCAGACAACCCCCTCCATTGCCCCCATGGCTGTGCTCCTGGAGCCTCCTTCCTGCTATCCCAGAAGTCCTTGCAGGTAGAGGTTAGAGGAGGGAGTGAACTCAGGCCAGTTCCCTCACTGCAGCCCCCGGGCGTTGGTGCTGGCTGCTCCCTTTTGTCTGGAGAGCTCCACCTCCAGTCCACACACATGCATGCATGCAAGCACACATGCACATACAAGAGCACATGCATATATGCACGCACACAAGACCACATGCACATGTGCATGCACACATACACACACGTCTGGCCCGAGTTAGCTCTCAGACTCCACTCTGGTCTCGCCTTTTTTCTCTCTCAACCTCCTCTCAGCTTCCCCCCGCCTCCAAGTCGTGCCATGTCCTATGACTTCCACAAGCAGGTGTCCAAGAAAGGCTCAAAGGTCGCATGTAAGGTTGGTCCCTGCCCTCTGGTTCCGGGCCCCCGCTGGCCCGCACACACCGTGACAACACTCACAGCCCCACCTCCGGGCCTCTTTCCCAACACCCCGCCTTGCACATCCTCTTCCTCTACCTCGAGTGCCCTTCCCTTTTTCCACCTTGCAAACCCCTCCATCTCCCTCCAGACCCCGCCCCTTCTCCCTTCTCAGGGAGGTCTTCCTGGCTGCCTTCCCTACCAAGCCAGGCCCGCCACTGGGCTGCCCTCCTTAGCGCTCCCTCCTTCCCTTCCAAGCCAGGTCTTGCCACTCTGCGCGGCCATTCCGTCTCGGCGGGCAGCTTCCCCCTCAGCAGGCTGGGGACACCGCCAGGGCAGGGGCGGCATCTGATTCTGGATCAGAGCAAACACCTTGGCCCCAGGGCCCTGGGTCTGAGTCTCTCCCAGTTACCGCTGTGGGACTTCGATCAGGTTACTTCATCTCTTGGCACCTCAGTGGCCTCATCTGTAGAATGGGGATGCTCTGGGTGAGGCTTCCAGAAGCAGAGCCCAAGACAAGTGTCTATAAAAGTGAGTTACTGAGGAGTAAGGGAGGCAGAATAGGGTGGAGAGAGAAGCTCCACATGAATGTGGTTTCAGGAACGGCTGCTTCCGGCCTGCCCCATGCGTGGGGGGCTCTGGAGTGTGAGCTGCAGGACTCTCCACCCAAGACCCTCTAGGGCAGC